TGGGAGAGGACTGGCAACCAAACCCAAGAATCCTGATCTCAGGCCACTGCTCCAAACACTACACCCCACGTCTCTGACTGATTTCTCTCTCTCCTCTCACCCCTGGTGTCTAGTTATATTTCTGGCTGAGTTCTCAATAGGTGGTTTACTTCCTTATTTTCTCCATGCTGCTCCAGCCCTGCTCTTTCCTCTGAACATTGTTTTTCCCTTGTTTGTTTTTAGGGCTGCTCAAGCAAATTGACGCGGGTGGAGACATGTTTGTCGCTGGTGTCAACACGAATGATGACATCTACTGTCTGTCTCGTCCAGCAGCGGTCTCTGCGAATGGTGTCTCTGACTTGCCCTGGGTCAAAAATGAAGGAAAGCTGAAGTACTACAGCTGTGGTTTGTGGGGCTGCTGGGGAGTTAACTCAGCTGATGATATCTATTTCCGGTTTGATGTCACCCCGGATCCTTGTGAAGGATCCAGGTGGGAACAGATTCCAGGCAAGCTGTCCATGATTGAAGTTGCTTCCGAAGGCTCTGTCTATGGCGTGAACAGTGCAGGACAAATATATCGCAGGTACAGTGGTACAATGAGGGATCAGGGCCATTCATACCCGTCACTAAGAGCACAGGGAGAACAGGATGTTGCCTGATCCTGTGGAGCAAGCCGACTCCGGTGCCTAATGTTCGCTGATTTCCTAATGAGCTGATTCCAGGGCTCTCCAGCATCCCAATGACCTCACAATGCGGCACCCACTGTTGCCTAATTGAGAGGACTCCACTGCTAACTAGCAGGGAACCTAAAACGGGTGTGAGGCACATTGCAGAGGTTCTGCTGTCTTGGGGAACTCTTGGAAGCCTGAGCTCTGCATATTAATAGGTAGCACAGATAGTCCTGCTCACTCCCGTCACAGCGCCTCTGCGCACCCAAACTGCGCATGTGCCATCTCCACACAGTGATGGAGCATCCTCCAGCCTAGGGTTGAGAACATAAGAACGGCCAGACTGGCTCAGACCAAAGTCCATTTAGCCCAGTATCCTGTCTTCCAACTGTGGCCAATGCCAGGTGCCCCAGAGGGAGTGAACAGAACAGGTAATCATCAAGTGATCCATTCCCCCTGTCACCCCTTCCCAACTTCTGGAAACAGGGGCTAGGGACACCATCCCTGCCCAGCCTGGCTAATAGCCATTGATGGACCAATCCTCCATGAATTTATCTAGTTCTTTTTTTAACCCTCTTATAATTGTCTTGGCCTTCACAACATCCTCTGGCAAAGAGTTCCACAGGTTGACTGTGCGTTGTGTGAAGAAACACTTCCTTTTGTTTGTTTTAAACCTGCTGCCTATTCATTTCATTTGGTGACCCGTAGATCTTATTTTATGAGGAGTAAATAACACTTCCTTATTTACTTTCTCTACACCAGTCATGATTTTATAGACCTCAATCATATTCCCCCTTAGTTGTCTCTTTTCCAAGCTGAAAAGTCCCGGTCTTATTAATCTTTCCCCATACGGAAACCGTTCCACACTCCTAATAATTTGTGTTGCTCTTTTCTGAACCTTTTCCAATTCCAATATATTTTTTGAGATGGGGCAACCAGATCTGCACACAGTATTCAAGACATGGGTGTACCATGGATTTATATAGCAGCAATATGATATTTTCTGTCTTATTATCTAACCCTTTTTTAATGATGCCCAACAGTCTGTTCGCTTTTTTGACTGCCGCTGCACATTGAGTGGATGTTTTCAGAGAACTATCCACTGTGACTCCAAGATCCCTTTCTTGAGTGGTAACTGCTAATTTAGACCCCATCATTTTATATGTATCATTGGGATTATGTTTTCCATTGTGCCTTACTTTGCATTTATCAACATTGAATTTCATCTGCCATTTTGTTGTCCAGTCACCCAATTCTGAAAGATCCTTTTGTAGCTCTTCACAGTCTTCCTGGGACTTAACTACCTTGAGTAGTTTTGTATCATCTGCAAATTTTGCCACCCACTGTTTACCCTTTTTTCCACATTGTTTATGAATATGTTGAATAGGGCTCGTCCTAGCACAGACCCCTGGGAGACATGACTATTTAGCTCTCTCCATATTGAAAAACTGACCATTTATTCCTACCCTCCGTTTCCTATATTTTAACCAATTACCGATCCATGAGGACCTTCCTTCTTATCCCATGACAGCTTACTTTGCTTAAGAGCCTTTGTTGAGGGAGCTTGTCAAAGGCTTTCTGAAAATCTAAGTACACTATATCCCCTGGATCCCCCTTGTCCACATGCTTTTTGACCCCCTCAAAGAATTCTAGTAGATTGGTGAGGCATGATTTCCCTTTACAAAAACCATGTTGAGTCTTCCTCAACAAATTATGTTCATCTATGTGTCTGACAATTTTGTTCTTTACTATAACTTCAACAAGTTTCTTCGGTACTGAAGTCAGGCTTGTAATTGCCAAGATCACCTCTGGAGCCCTTTTAAAAATTGGCATCACATTAGCTATCCTCCAGTCAAATGGTACAGAAGCTGATTTAAATGATAGGTTACAGACTACAGTTAGTAGATCTTCAAATTCACATTTGAGTTCCTTCAGAACTGTTGGGTGATACCATCTGGTCCTGGTGACTTATTACTGTGCAATTTGCAATTGCTCCACCTGGCAGCAGGGGTTCCTGTGGAGCCAAGCACAGGAACTCAATGTTCCCCCTGCTGGGCCCAGGCAGGGGGAGGAAGACACTCCCAGACTAGAATGGAGTGGGAGGAGGGGAGGGAAGAGAACTGCCATTCCCGGGGGGAGCTGTGGCATTTCCCCCTGCAGCGCTGTGGGATTCTCTTGGTGTTCTCTATACCGCTCTGTCGTTGGCTTTCATTCCATGTCACCTGCCAAGACCGAGGAAAGGCCCCTTGTAGTTTTGAAGTGGGAATGTTTCCCTGGAGAGGATGTTCCCTGCCCTTCTGCCCTCAGCCCACACCGCAGGGAGATGAAGCTTGCTCAGCTCTGATCCTGCCATCTTAATAGGGTCTAGCCAGACACTCGTTTAGGAGGATGGGTGCTGCAATGCAGGGCTGTGAGCGGACAGCAAGGAGAAACATGTGCTGGGGCTACCCTCTGGGCTGCACTGAGAAGCTGCTCTCCACAGGCTGGGATAGAGGTGGAGTCCTTCTCTTAGCAGATCCGTATTAACACCAGTCCTGTCAACTTCCTTTCAGGGATGGAATCACTAAAAGCAACCCCGTCGGCACCAGCTGGACCCAGGTGGCCAGTTTCATCTGCAAATGCAAACATGTGTCCTATGACCAGGGCCTGCTGTGGCTTATCATTGACCAGGACAAGATTGTGAAATGCCGGATCTAAATGAGACTCCCGCCATCTCAGCCTCACAGTGAGTAACAGTGTCCATTTAATCTCTCTCTCTCCCTCTTTCCCCCCCCCCCCGCCCCGCAGTGCTTAATTTGTACCAGCCTCAGCTTAGACCCGGCACCTCTGGGCTTGGCAGTTCATAGCAACGGCACCTCTGGGTTTGCCGTGTCAGTTATGAAAGTCACAAATTGCTTGAGCCCCAGAACCTCTTTCATTACAAATTAAGCCCTGCTCCACTGCTTTGTCCAGGTTTTCTACATTCCTTCTCCAGCCAGTGGTATGAAGCTTTTGTTCCAAGGGTAAAATCACGTCCCACAAAATAGAGCCACGAAGGTTCATCATTACCTGCTCCTTCTCTGCCTCTGCCTCCCCCGCCGTGCCTCTGGCCCTGCCCCCGGCCCTGGACACACATACTTCTCCTCTGATAAAATTCAATGGCTGGAAACTGAACAGAGCAAGGACCAAGCTGAAAACAAAGGGCAGTGTTTTTAGCTATGAGGGAGGTCAACCATACGAACAGATCCACAAGGGATGGGTAAATTCTCCATCACTTGGAGTCTTTCAATCAAGACTGGATGTCTTTATAAAAGCCCTGATATACTCTGTATCAACTGCATGCTGTTGGGTATGATGCAAAAGTCACTTGGTACTCCGCAGGGACTGGGTTTTCGCCCGACACTATTTAACATTTTTATCAATGACCTGGAAGAAAACATAAAATCATCACTGAGAAAGTCTGCAGATGACACAAATTGGGGGGGTGGTAAATAATGAAGAGGACAGGTCACTGCTACAGAGCAAACTGGATCGCTGAGTCACCTGGGCGCAAGCAAACAGACGTTTTAATCTAGCTGCATGTAAATGTATA